GATCGGCCTCAAAAATCCTGATCGGAGCACCCCTACTGGTTATGGATCCTGGCTTTGTTTTTGCGCGACAAAAAAACGACAAAAACACTTTTTGCAAATTGGTTTGACCTACTCATTACTGCTCAAAAGAGCCATCTGGTCAGGTCAGACACCAACAGAATGACATCACAGCATATGTTTGTTACCACATGCAACTAGCAACATGCATCTATTAGCAGTGGCAGAGAATTGATTATGTATTTTACAGTGGCCAGTCTGTCGCTTTCATCACATTACATTCAGACAAGCTGCTAAATAAGCTAAAATATGAAACCGTTATGTCACTGGGTTGTTGATTCAGCTTTGGCGCTATAACAGGAAACACTGATGATGATGCAAATGAATGTTAATGAACTGTAATTTCTCACATTAGTCATAAAGACTTACTAAAACTTCAAAAAGAATTGCAAAACTGTAGAACATCCAAAGCTGTTAGCGCATTTGATTTAACACATTAAGCTAAGGATGAAAGTTTAAGCTCTCAAACATTTATTCTGCTTATCCTGTCCTCTAACAGAGGTAAAACTGCCACATAGTAATAAAAACAAGAATTTTAAATACAGTTGTTTAAAAAACTGAGGCTGCATGAAAATAACAGGAGCGTATCATAAGCAAATCCAACAAACAGAACATTCAGTGAAGGTGCACGACCTACAAGATGATGTTTGACTAAAATTGTTGTTTCCAGTTTGACTTGAGAAGATGAAAGTGGAAGGAAAACACCAGTATAAGAACCTAAACATCAATAACAGCAACAACCTCTTCGTTTTACACGGACACCTGTAGAAACACTGCCCACACAGTGCAGATGAGAGCGTTTTACTCATTTCCTTTCCATTTCTCTTTCGCCCTCTTTTCAGGATTAGATTCATACGGTTTTGTGGAGTTTCCATGGCTTACCTCCATTTTTTAAATTTCTTACTGCTTCAGCCTTTCCTCATTTCCTGTCTGCTTGCTTTGGGTTTCCTCTTCCTCACTGCTGTTTTAAAACGCTGCTCATTAAAGTCACTGCACTGTGATTTCTCGCTTCCAGTTGAACATTCTTTTGTTTCTACCTCATGCTCTTTCACATTTCCACCCATCTTGGACCCTTTCTGTCCCATGCATCACAAGTCAAAACCCTCAAAATATGATTTGGTTTTAAGACGAAAGTAGAAGCGTGGCCATGTCAAATGTGCTCAACAGCTAAGAGAAAGCCCTTCAGCTCTGGATCCCCTGACCTGGCTCTCGGTAGATTTGTCAGGCGGGTCCTTGTGAATTGCCATCTGGTAGAGTTTGTACACTTGGTACGAGGCGTCAAACGAAGCTTTGAACTGTGGACTGGGAGGGTTGGAGCGCACTAGCCTCACCTTCAACATGAGGATGAGCATCAGAGGGTTAAACAGAAAAATGATAGATTGTTTCCAAGAAACATGCCAAGATCAAGTTAATAGTACAAACACTGCAGGAGAACAGTGAGCATGGAACATCTTAAGGTTTGGAATGGAAACAGAATAAAAATAAATTGTACATGCAGTTCTCTTTATAGAACACACGGGTGAATCTCATGAAACAGGTCAAGAACATGTCCAGTCCATAAAAAAAAAAAACATATTTGGTTAAAAGGAAATAAAGCTAATTTGTACATTTACAATTTAAATAATTTATATATATATATATATAT